GAATGGGTGTCATGTGTTTCAATAAAACTTTATTTACAATGAGAGGCGGTGGCCTGGATTTGGTTCCCAGGCTGTAGTGTGCCAAGCACACACAGCTCTCTAGTGCAGAGGTTGAAAAATAGTGTGTAAGGTCTTCTGTGTCGGATGAAAAATAGAATAAAGGGGAAAGGGAAAGCAATACGGAGCCAGTGGAGGTGGAAGGAAGGGAAGAGGAAGCAGTGGTACAAAAGAAGGCAGGCAGCTGGAATCAAAGTAGAACATGAACACAGAGGTGTTACAGGAGACTCTGTGGATATGATGGTGGTAAGAATGTTGATTTTGAAGCCACGGAGGCCATACTAGGTTGGAGTAAGTAGAATTTTAGCCAGATTAAGGGTATGATGTAAAGTGCTAATATCACTTACTTTCCCCAGACATTAAAGATTCAGGCATTGTGTGTGTCTATATATAATATACGCACACACAATATATGTAATTATATATATACTATATATATATAGTATATATGTTTTTATGTGGTAAGTTTGTCTGAATTTCTATCTACAATCCTACTACTTTTCCTTGGTGTCCTGTCGGTAAAAACACAGCTAGTACCACATTCCGTAAGTGTTTTATTATTATTATTTTTAACTTGGAATATCAGGTCCAAAGAGATTTATAGCTGTGCATAATACAACATGAAGCTTCACATTTTGAGAGTTGAGCAGTTTTTCTTAAAATGGCAAGTTTAATCTCATCATTGAGATATCGAGCAGGAATAGCTTTTGTGGTGTTACGGTAGGAGTACAGAAAATCAGAAAACAGATTGGTGGCTTGCTAATCAGAGCAAAAGGAACAGTAAAACATGGATTTTACGAATCACTTCAATCTGGAACTAGATTGTTACAATAAACTAAATATATATTTCATAACAGCATTTTCACTTAGAAAGTTTCATTTATTTTTCTCTGTCTCGTTTCTCATGTGTCTTATAGCATATATGTTAGAAATATATGCTTTCTAAAAATTTTTTTTAATTTTTTTTTTTACATTTATTCATTTTTGAGAGACAGAAAGAGACAGTGCACAAGCGGGGGAGGGGCAGAGACAGAGAGAGACGTAGAATCTGAAGCAGGTTCTAGGCTCTGAGCTGTCAGCACTGAACCCAACGTGGGGCTCAAACCCACAAACCAGGGGATCATGACCTGAGCCAAAGTCGAACGCCCAACCGACAGCCACCCAGGCGCCCCTAAAAAAATTTTTTTTAATGTATATTTATTTTTGACAGAGAGAGAGAGAGACAGAGCATGAGCAGGGGAGGGGCAGAGAGAGAGGGAGACACAGAATCGGAAACAGGCTCCAGGCTTTGAGCTGTCAGCACAGAGCCCGACGCGGGGCTCAAACTCACAGATCACGAGATCATGACCTGAGCCAAAGTCGGACACTCAACCGACTGAGCCACCCAGGTGGCCCGAAATACATGCTTTCTGAAAGTATGTAATAAGAAAGGGAGAAAGCAAACCACTTTTCTAAAAACCAGAATCTGAGAATGTAGTAATGTAGGTATGTTTTCTTTATTCTTTGTCAAAATACTATGAAGTTGAACAGTTGTATAGAATGTAATAAAAATGTATACAATTTGACAAATGAGATTTATATTGTGAAATTCTATGAAAAAATTCATTATATGTTAAATATGAACTGTTACCCATTTTGAAGTAGAAAAACATTATTATATATATTTTATCACTCACAGCTATAAATAAATCACGGGAAAAGGATATAGAATCTTAATTAAAGGATGAATAATGATGTGCCATAAACAGAATTAAAGACAGACTTTTGAAATTATAATTTAAAATTAATTTGAAATTTGAAATTAGAATTTAATCTACAGACAGGCGACAATGATTGTTTTCATCTTAGTCCATACTAAAATCTGTATTTTAGAAGGCGAGCTTACTTCTCCTTTTAGGGAAAAAAGTGATTTTACTATTCTCATGTTGTTACTTCAAAATTCTTTTGACAGTAAAGAAATTTATTTTAGATTCTCATATTTGAAAGGAATCCTTTCATATCCACTGGGCAGCGTTTCCCAAAGAAATCCCCCTTATCTCTTTTCTGATTTTGTTTACTTTGTTCTCAGGCTGCCTGTTCTATGTTTTTCACGAACCAATTTAATGCCATACAGGAAGCTCCTATTCCTTACTGTTGTGGGTTGAATCTCTTTCCCAGTGTCCCTTGCTCACACGCTGAAATTCACACGTGCCTTCTGCCTCCTTCTGAACAGTCTCTCCTTTCCCCCTTGGGGTTTTCCTGTTCCTGGTCACCTTCCCTTCCCGCTCCTTTGCTGTGCGCGGCTGTAATTTTATTTGCCCGGCGTCACTGTTTTGCCTTCTCTCAACACGATGCTTTCATTCCCCATACCCCTTCAAATAAAGGAATTCCTAGCCAATCCTTTTTCAAGAGTGAGAAAAAACTTTTTCTAGAAATACTCGGAGAACGTGTTGGATGCCTTCTCTCAAAGTTCTGGCATAATTTAAGAGTGGAAACAACTCTTAAAATTTAGAAGAAATATTTGTGATATTATATTTATGATGTATCACAAGTCACTGTCTCTTGATGGCACTGTCAACGTTCAGCACATAATGTATCATTGAACGAACGTATTAACACGTGCATATTCAAATACTGTCGTAGTTATGATGCCATCAAAAGGACTGCATTTTGAGGTTTTTTTTTTTTTTTAACCTATCTAATGCAAAGAATGAATTTAATCTTGGAAATTAAATAATGTTGTCGTGAAGATGTTAATTTGATAAGAAGTCACAGTTTTAAATGCCAAATGCCCCGGCTTAATGTTGTTCAGCAACTTTATTCAGAGACTGCGAAACGTGGCTCCCTGTTCCTGTGGACGTCAGGCTTCACAGCTGATGTCTGGTGTCTGATAAGAATCGGGTGAAAGGACCCCCAGCGCTCGAACCGTGTTGTGGATTATACCTACATTGCTTACGGTCCCCCCTCCCCCCTTTGCCCGTATTAGCAATCTGCTTTTGTACTTTGACTTCCAGGATTTCCCTAGTGAATTTTGTCACAGAAAAAAGAGAATCATCAATATCGCAGTTAAACTTGACTTTCAAAGCTAATAGTATCTCATTTGGGGGCTCAAATTTAATAAATTTTCTTTGATTCTGGGTGAGTTTTTAAACATCAAACAATGAATTGGCCAGGGTGCAGTAAAATATTTAGATCTATTGACTATGGTTCAGAAGGGTAGAAGGCAAAACACCAGTGGTTTGATGTTGATAAATTCTCAGCACCTTAATCCACATTAATGTTTTCTTTTATCTGAGTGCACATTGGTGACCAAAAAAGAAAAAGCAGGAGAAGGTATCCATAAGTATAAACTATAAAAATTAAAGAAAATATACTTGTAAAATATTTTTTTTTATGTAAAATAAGTTAAAAGCATTCTCATCCTGACTGAAGACTCTGGAGAATGTTTGTTACAGATAAATACACATTCCAAATTGGGACTCCGCTGTGCATACAGTACTCACACCATTATCAAAATTACCTTACGGTGTATGTTTTCTAGCATACACTTTGACATTCACTTATTGACAGAAAGTCTTCTGCTCAACTTGGGAATATAAAGAGTTTTATAACCATAGATTAGCATGAACAGTTAAAGATGTCATCATATGTTTGTGTGTGTTTACTGGTGTAAGGAGACCCTACGCAGTATGGTGGTTCATTCATAAAACAAGAAATAACTCAAACAGGTTTTACAAGCTTCCCAAGTAGAATGGAAAAGCGAAGGAGAGTTTTCTATCATATATTGTCGCCAAGTTACATTTGAAGCCGCTCAGGTAAAAGTAGAGATATAAATATATTTATTTGAGAAATTAGTGCTATTTTTATAGTTCTCCCATTCTTGACCTTTACTACTTCATAAAAAACACTTTTGATCCTGTGGCTTTAAGCTAGTTGTGTAATATTTATCAAATATGTGGTAGCAAAGAGATACGTTTTTAAAACCAAGTCAGGCATAGGGAAAGTTAGAAAATATGCCTGTGTATGAAACCTACTATCATGAAACTATATAATTAAAAATGAGAGCTCACTGATATTATGGAAAACTAAACTGTGCAATTTTTAAGGCTTTTAATAACTTTGGAAATTAAAAATGAAAACAGACCGGTTTTTGAGCATTTTCTTTTATCTGTATACAGCATATAGGGAGTAGTTTCTCATTTGTCCAGAAGGTGGCAGTGTAATATCAACTGCATGTGATACCTGTATTGGCTAGAGAATGGTGTTTCTCCTGTATCTGTGATGTTTGTATTGTTGCCTTTCCGAATACTTAAAATATAGTACAAATACCACTGATTTCATTCATTATCTTATTTAGAAGTTGCGTGACTGAGTTGGTTTATATGTATTTAGTCGCTAAGACTCAAGTTTAGTAAGAAGAAAATGGGCAAATAAACCTCTGACTGGTATATTTTTAAGTCTCCTTGTGTGTTGAGTATATTTGTTTTTATTCCAGGGTACATATTATTGAAGTTTTCTTTTCAAAGACCAGTACCAAATAACTGTCTTGTCTAATATGTATCAGTTAATACCAGTTAAATTAAACATGTTATTTAAAAAATGATAATAATTAGGAGATTGCTGTTTGTTTTCGATTTTGTGGATGTTTTTTTCCTCCTTTCTTTTTTCTTTGAGGGTGGAACGGTGAAAAAATAATTCAAAACCTCTTGATCAGAAGAGCTCCAGTGACTCGTCTTCCCTCCCTCATTTCAAGCAGGAGGATGCTTTTTCTTCTTAACATTCTCCCCCAGCACTCTGAATTAGAGATTTATTTGCAACGAAAAATCAATTAGTCCTAAATTTATTCATGGATTTCAGGTCCAGCGATCAATGCAAGTCCACTCAGTGGGCTCAAGGGGACCCAGTTCATCCCAGTTAATGTGTCTGAAGGGGAATTACCATTGATGCTGTTTTTTTCCCTTTAGGTCAGAGATCAGATCTCGCTGTCACGGACTGCGGCAAGTAGGAATGACTTCACCCTGCAGCTACCCAAACTGCACCTGGAGACCTTTGCAATGGAGGGGCTCAAGGGCGGGCCAGAGGTTGTAGCGTGCCAGGTTAGAGTCTAAATAACATTGTTTGCTACTGAGACGCATAGAAAAATAAATTGCACTAACTGGAGAGAAGGAAAGCCTCAAAGTATTGTGAATAACTTAAAGGAGATGCAAATAATTCTTCTTAATTTTTCTTCTACCGTGTAACCCTATTTCACAAATAATTGTGTGTTTTTTTCTTTAAAGCCTCGAAATAGCCTGTTAAGTAAGCCAGAAAAGTATTTTTTTTTCTTACCAAGGAAAAATGTGTGTTTTATAGCTAAGTACAGTATGTAAAGAACACGCTTTCCTGTCAGCAGAGGACAATAAGACACTAGGCTGTTATCTCTTTAAGCTAGTCTCAATTTGTAGCTCTTATTGTTTTAAATAAATCACTGTAGAGAAAATTATCAGGAGAGATATTTGAAAATTTTCAATGTTAATTCCGAAGTATAGCCAATATTTCTTAGGTAGCAATTTAATTTAAGCAAATGTAGAACCTTACTGGACTTTTTGCACTGAGGAGCATTTCCCCTTGATTTTTAGTTTTAATGAACGACATAATAATATGTGCAGATTGGGTTATTTCATTTATAAAACTCAAAGTACCAAATCCTGAAACCTCAAATAATTGTAAAATCAACTTAATAAAGAAATTTTTTTTCCAGAGCATACTCCTTTTCAGATGCTGTAGGTATCTTTCTAATCAAGGTTACTATTGTGTTATTGTGGGCATTTTTTTTTTTTCCTGAGGGTTAGGACAGTTTTTTAGTTGGACGGAACAAAATTCGGTACATGCTTTATTTGCCTTTTAATGCCCAATGCCTTTATTAGAAAAACCTATCAACATTGTGTAAACTGTAGGAAGCCTGGTATTTCAAAAGAGGCTGTTCTTGTTTAGTAGCATTCTAGAATTTTCAGTGTATTGAAGAGAGAAATAGCTCTTAAAACTCAGTTTCTGTTTCGCATTTTGAGGTTTAAAATAAACTTCATCCTTCTTTAGTGTATGACTCTGTGGAATTTTAATTTTGTACAAAATTAATATCAGTCCAAGTGGGGCTCTGGTAATTTTTTTCTCCATGTTCCATACCCTAATTTAATTTGCTATTAGTGCCCAAATTAATGGTTTACAAAGAAAGAATGCTCATTTCTTTCATTAGGTTGTCCACCAATATATTTAAAATATATACGTGATTTAAAACTAAGCATAAAATGTTTTTATTTTCAGTTATAGGCTGGAATACCATACCATTATTTAGTACAAGATTAAGATGTACATTTTAAATTTGATTACCATTATTTATGAATTCATTGCAACCACAAATACAATATGATTTGAGATTTTTCTAGTGGCCATAAAATAATCCTGTACTTGGCTATCTTGATTCAGAATCTCAGAGGGCTCAGGACTTGTCATAATTCAGAAATAAAGACTTCCCCCAAACTGTAGATTTTAGTGATTTGGAAAGAGACTGATCCTCAGAATGCCAGTTTTGGGGGGAAAAGCATGAACTCTCTATGGTTCTGACATCAGTGAAGAGCCAGAAGGAAATGTAGAGACCCATATTTCAAACTGCTGTCTCTTCCAAGTTCTACTAGAAATACTTACGCACAAGGCCAATGCCTAAACACTTGGGCTTGTTTTGCAGTGACGTGCTGGGATGTACACGTCAGGTTAGTCATGAATTGAAGTTCAGTACTCCATGCGGACAAGAACACATGACTTGGGCCATAATAGTTTTTTCCACAGACACACAGACACAGGCAGGGAGACAGACAGACAGACAGACACACACACACACAGAATTGTGGTAGGCTTTGGAGTACTTTGAGAAGAAAGGCTCTGTAGTAATTGATGACCTAAATTTTCATATTAATAGCTACCGTGTCAGTGACCACTTACTATGAACGAGGTATCATGCTTAGTTCATTAAATACTTCATGCTGTCTAATTCTCACAATGGACCTGTCACATGTGGCGTTATATGTCAAATAATGGCATCATTTGCATTTTACAATTGAAAAACAACTACAACAGGTAACGCTCCACATCAACAGCAAGTAAGGGGCAGGTCCCGGAGCCTGAATTCAAGTGTAGGTGTTGTTTGACTGCAAAGCCTGAACTGGTAAAATCTGATACTGGAAGAAAGTCTAGACACCTGTGTTAAATGGTAAGCGCGCAGCCTCTGAGATGTATATAGTGGGATTTTCCTTCCGTTTACAAAATATTCATTATGCATCTATGTAAGATGTAGGTCATAGTTTATGCTGTATTGTGGACAAATTTACAGAGAAAGAAATTTTGCTTCCACTTGACAGGCTAATATTATGGAACACTACTTTTCACCTTTTTGCAGTATGTAAATATGTATATTTATGCTAAGTGTGGTACACACATATTTAGGGATTCAGTGTCCGTTTGGCTTCGTACTCGGTGCTGATGGGGCAGACTGTTCAGAGAGCACGTGTCCTTTGATCGTGCCGAGGAGAGGATCACTGTGCAGGATGTGGTAGTGTCCAACCATTCGGCCAACCTGTACAGCCATCACTGGAGCAGTAGGAGCTGTCCCCGTCTGTCTCTTCCAAAATGGGAGGCTCCAAAATGGAAGGAGGAACAGTGAGCACGAGGGAATGGTGAAGAGGCTTACCCTTTCCCCGCCGGACCCAGGAGAGCAGGTGACTTATGCTCTCCCCCGGGAGAAAATTCAGTTCAGAAAAATGTAGTCTCTGAGCTCTGCTAGCATTTAGCTTCAATTTTATTGTCCGCAAAAGAAAAAAAAAAAAAAGGCGTAGTCCTGCCAATTTCTCAGGCTTGTAGTAGCATTAAGTGAGGCAACGCATGTCAAGTAGCGAACACGGTGCTTAGCCAAGAGAGCAGGCAGTGTATGGTAGCAGTTATGACTGCAGCCACTATGGGACCCTCGTAAAGAGGAAGCTGGCACCAGTGGCTTGTTTTCATTACTTTTATTTTTTATTTTTTTTATTAAAAAAATTTTTTTTAAGCTTTATTTATTTTTGAGAGAGAGAGGAAGAGAGAGCGAGCGTGAGTGGGGGAGGAGCAGAGAGAGGGAGACACAGAATCCGAAGCAGGCTCCAGGCTCGGAGCTGTCAGCACAGAGCCCGACGCGGGGCTCGAACTCACAGACCGTGAGATCATGACCTGAGCCGAAGTCAGATGCCCAACCGACTGAGCCACCCAGGCGCCCCTGTTTTCATTACTTTTAAGGGTGTGTGTGTTTTACATGGAGGAATGGTTATTTAGGATCTTTTTCTCTCTATCTTTCCATTGGCTTCATATACTCTTCTTTGTTTCTTCAAAAGCTTTAAATAACTTTGATTAATATCAGCATCAGCTCCCTATTTACTTTTCCATGTTACTTGATGTTCCTGTGAGACCATGTCTCCAACGAAACCCTTTGCCTGAGCTCTTATGGCAAGTCCATACTATTGTTACCTGTGCTTTTATCTCCCAAACGATAGTGTTATCAGTCAACCAGAAAAAAATTAAAACACCTAGATTAGACAAGTTAGGTGTAGCTGAAAAGTCCAGTATAATGTGAATGCACAGGACTTTGTCATAAAAAATATGCTGTCCATATTTTATAAAGATAATACCGATCACTCATTATCTTATACTTTGAATTTTTTTCTCAATAATTAAGCTATGTAATGCATTAAAAATATTTTTATGTTTATTTAGTTTTGAGAGAGAGAGAGAGAGCAGTGGAGGGGGCAGAGGATCCAAAGTGGGCTCTGTGCTGAGAATAGAGAGCTCAGTGCAGGGCTCGAGTTCACGAACCCTGAGATTGTGACCTTAGCCGAAGTTGGACACTTAACTGACTCCCCCTCCCCCCCGGTGCCCCTGTAATGCATTTATTATCTGGCAAATATTAGCAGGCATGTAATAAATGTTTGTGTCTCCACCCTCATTCAATAATAAGCAACAAGGAACAATATAAATAGTTGACATTTGTTGAGTACTTATTCTGTACCAGTCACTGTGCTAGCCACTTTACATTTGCTATCTCATTTAATCCCTGCAACAACGGTATGAATAGGTGCTGTGATTTTCTCTTTTATAAAGGAAGGAGCTAAAGTTTATTGAGATGCAATAAATTGCTAGAGGTTACGTATCCAGTGAATAGGATCCATTCATGCTTTTTATTTCTGCCTTTTGTAAACCATGGCTTGCTGTGTGTGTGCGTGTGTGTGTGTGTGTGTGTGTGTGTGTGCGCGCGCGCGCGCGTCTTAAGATTGTCAAGAGGGAAAAAGAATAAAGGAAGGGTCTGTCTGTAGAATACAGTTTCATTTGTGAGGAAATAGCGGAGAGGATAAAACTGCAAAAGAGGCTAACTGGAAAAGTTACTTACTTTACTTTTTACTTACTTACTGTGTATTTTGGACTTTCATCTGTGAAGTGAAGATAACAAAAATTTCTAACTCCTAATGTTGGTGTGATGATGAATGGGTTAGCATATAAAGTGCTCAGAATAGTGACAGGTGCATTGTAAACGCTCAGCGTCTATTAGCTGTCCACTAACACGAAAGCTGCATGAGGCCAGGAACTTGGTTTTGTTCGCTGTTGCATAATTCTTTAGGATGAATGCGTGGGGTTGCTGCCTCTAAGGTTACGCACATTCGAAGGATCTGATATACATTCCTCAAGTGTCCCTGAAAAAGACTTCCAGTTTACTCCTAAATGACCTCTGTTAGGCTTTTAGTTTCCTTCTTAAAAGTTTGGTTCTTTATTTTCCATTACTAAAGGGAAGTGTTATCTCCTTTATATAATTTAGATCTTCCCTGATTTCAGATGCCCGTTGTCACTGGGTTCTTGATTTCCAGAGTTGCCAGCGTTTAGTCTAAGAGTCTCCATAGTGAGGTATAGAGAATATTTGGTGACTGCTGTTTGTTTCACAGATACTCTTTTTCATTTATTTCTGGGTGCATAGCTGTGCTCTGAGTGTTTGAGATTATTGGAAATCTGACCTTTTTGGTAATGTAATAAGGCGTCAAAAAGATTTTAA